CTTTAAATATCTGCCCCCCCCCCTTCCTACAAACCCTGGAAGAGAGTTCTCTCTCATATATAGAAATATCACAGTTATTTAATCATAGAGTTGCTTCCAGCTAAATAAAATGTTAGGTTCTGTTATCTTAATCTTAGTTTTCTTACTGTTAACCGAAGTTTGCGGGGGATGACAAAAATAATAGTGCAGACTAGAATATTCTGCTCCCTGTAAGACCCTTAGAAATCAATCAATTTCCTAAGGTAATCAGTCTTTTTGGTGAACAAAACTCTTTGGTTAATCAGACTATTAGTTAACCAGACTCTTAGTTAACAAAACTCTTGCTTAATCAGATTTTTTGGTTAACCAGACTTTTTGGTTAAAAAAACTCTTTGGTTAACCAGACGTTAACCAGACTCTTTGGTTAACCAGACTCTTTTGTTGACCAGACTCTTTGGTTGACCAGACTCTTTGGGTTAATCAGACTCTTTGGTTTAACCAGACTCTTTGGTTAACTAGACTCTTTGGTTAACCAGACTCCTTGGTTAACCACACTCATGAGTCAGCAAGAGTCTTTGGATACTCTTTGGTTAACCATATACCTGTTAACTTGACTCTTGTTAACCAGACTCTTGTTAACCAAGTTCTGAGTAAAGTTTCCAACCTAACATCTTGTATTTGCATCACACGCATATAAACGTCTAGTCTAGGATCAAGGGGTGGAAACTAGCAAATTTAGTTATTTTTACTATAACACCACCCCTTAGTTCTTCAGTATAAATGTACATTATTGGACTTCTTTATAAATATTGAAATTTTAGTTAATTAGAAATATATAATTGAAATTTTTTAGCTGAATCATTTAGAGAGGAAAAAATAGTGATCCTTAAAGCTTGAAACCTGTTTTTGTGTCAGGTTTATATTGTCCTGTTTAGTTCTTTTTATTTACGATCTTTTGGGGCCTGGGATACATTTTAACATTTATTATAAGATTGACAAGTAGATTGAAGGAACAAAGGACTTGGGAGAATGAAGGGGGGGGAAGGTAGAGAAAAGGTAGGAGAGGCAAGTAGGAAGGGAGATGAGGGAAAATAGGAAACAAAAAGAAAACTTAAAATTTGCATGTCATCAAATTTATCAGTTTAGTTTTAACTGTGAATCTATAAAGCCGTAAAGTGAAGTGGGTGAAGGAAGAATTTTATTTCTCTTCACACCTAAGCTATGTGTTTATCTCTATCTGAGTTTATGTATATTGTGTTTATCTCTCTATCTGAGTATATGTATATTGTGTTTATCTCTATCTGAATATATGTATATTGTGTTTATCTCTCTATCTGAGTATATGTATATTGTGTTTATCTCTATCTGAATATATGTATATTGTGTTTATCTCTATCTGAATATATGTATATTGTGTTTATCTCTATCTGAGTACCCTTCTCTTTCCTGGTTCCTCTCTCCCCTGTGGATTACCCTTACTCCCTCTTATTTCTTGAATAGTTCTAGATCTTGAAACTCTAAACTAAAAGATGTGTACAGGGTGATCCAAAAAACATGACAGTTAAGAGAAGACTTAAAGGTCGTCTTTGATTTATCCAAGGACAAGTGTGTATCATATCAAAAAAGGTGCACGACTCAAAACATGCAAAAGACATTACTGGTTAGACTTTGTCACCTCTTAGCTTCTTTGATTAGTAAGAAAAGCATATTTGTCCGGTTGCATATTAGAAATTTAAAATAGCTTTACAAAGAGAGGAGTTAAAATTATAAACATGGAAGATTTAAATCTAACATTAAATTTACTTTAGTTTGACGTGATAAGCCTTGTAGGAAAACTCTTAAATTCTTAAACTTTTTTATACAAATTCAAATTAAAGATGTAAGACGAGCTGTAAGTCGTCATCTGTCTTTTTAGAGGGACAGGCTAGTTAAAGACGCAGTCGATGGTTTAAGGAAAATCCGCTTTTGTTCATGCTTGAACCTCTTCTCCTTTACTTATCCTATATTCAACCCCAGCTGATTAGGAACAGCTTCCGACTTGGAATTTTTCAAATGTATTTTGCTTCTGATTAGATCATATTAAAATGTAAAAGGAGGGTAGATGTTTTTAACTAACTTTGGGCCAACCACTCAAAACAACCTACCCTGGTTAGGCGGGTCCAAACTGCATAGAAAATTGTGATTGTTTAGTGAAGCTGTTTAGTGCCCACACTCAGGGAGAATGGACACTAAATATTTTGACTTTAAATCAATCACTGACGTCTTATATTTCAACGACCTTTGTTTTGAAATATTTGTTTTCTTGTCCTAGAAGGGAATTATTGCACATAATAACTCTTGAGTATGTTTAGTGAAATGTTCACTGAAATGTTGGGATTTATCTCCGGGAGGGGGCACTAAGAAATAAGTTGTACAATTACGTGAAAAATATGCAGGGAAGTGGATTTTTATCTTTATTTTTCATTACGGAGTAAATTGCTTTAAACTGAATTTAGGTCTCCGGTTTTTATACAGGGTTACCCACAAAGGATGAGACTTCAGAGACGACTTTACAGAATGCTATATTGTCTATTTTATATATTAACTGATATTCATGATTCCCTGAAACTATAAACTTCTTTCCCTCTTTGTCAAATCATTAAAAAAGCCCATTTCAAGACTTCACTTGCACATTAAAGACAGAAGACTAAACTTAAACTTGGGAAGTTGGAATTGTCATATTTGAAGAGTTTAAAGTCGTCTTCACAGTTTCATCCTTTTGGGTAACCTAGTAGCTTAATTTTAGGTCTTTTTTAAACATGCGAGCCCAACTATAACTTATAAAAATTATAAAAAAAAACAGTTAGGCTTGATTTAAGGAGTAGGGAAGGAACCTGGCACCCTTTCCAGTATTTAGTATCACCTCCACCCTTCCACCATATGTTCATATTTCTGAAAACTGGAGGCCCCACCCCTCCCTCCTTTCTCGCCTATTTCAAGACCTATTTCCGGCCCAAATATATATCTCAGCAGTCGTTGCCACCCCTTCCCCCCCCCCT